TGATCTCTGGATGTAGGTGAACTACAACTCCCAAACTCAAGGTCAATGCCCACAACCCTTCCAGTATTTTCTGTTGGTCATGGGAGATGTGTGCCAAGTTTGGTTCAATTCCATCATTGGTGGGGTTCAGAATGCTCTTTGATTGTAGGTGAACTATAAATCCCAGCAACTACAACTCCCAAATGACAAAATCATTTTTTTTGAGTGATGGACATACATTGGGTTGTTAGGTGTCTTGTGTCCAAATTTGGTGTCAATTCCCCCAGTGGTTTTTGAGTTCTGTTAATCCCACAAACGAACATTACATTTTTATTTATATAGTTAAAAGTTAGTCCCCTGACATTAAGTCCAGTCATGTCTGACTCTGGGGTGTGGTGCTCATCTCCATTTCTAAGCCGAAGAGCCAGCGTTGTCCGTAGACACCTCCAAGGTCATGTGGCCGGCATGACTGCATGGAGCCGTTACCTTCCCTCCGGAGCGGTACCTATTGATCTACTCACATTTGCATGTTTTCGAACTGCTAGGTTGGCAGAAGCTAGGGCTGACAGCGGAAGCTAACGCCGCTCCCTGGAATCGAACCTGCGACCTTTCGATCAACAAGCTCAGCAGCTCAGTGCTTTAACCCACTGCGCCACTGGGGGCTCCCTTTTATTTATATAGATTAGTATTATTTTACTGACTCAAAAGCACAGTATGTCACAGCAAACGAGATCCATAAGCTGGATTTCGTATAAAAAAAGTACAAGTTGAACACTTCCCAAGTGTCTAGGACTGTGTGATGTATTTCACACAGTGTGATGTATTTCACACGGGCGGGGGAGGAAGCGGGCTGGAGCCCGTGAAGAACAATGAGGAGGGGAGGGGGGATAAAGAAAACCGAGATAATTGGCAAGAAAAAACGCCAACAATTCAATCAAATAGCGAAACAGGGACTAAGACCTTGGTCATGGACTGCGGCACGGAGGAGGGGAGATGTTCCACTAGCCGAGGGGCCCCCATAGAGGTCGTGGTGGGAAGGAGGAGATGCGGAAAAAGGAGACCTCAAATTCGGCCTAATTCGGACCTTATCTACATTAATAATCCCAAACCGGTCTCCTAAGGTAAATTGGTGTAACCAGGTTGGCGGGCCCTCCGGATTGAAGGTGGTGCTGCTGAACGCCAGATCTGTCAACGGAAAAACGACCTTTATCCAGGACTTAATCCTGGATGAACGGGCAGATCTGGCGTGCATCACGGAGACCTGGTTGGATGAAGCTGGAGGAGTAAATCTGACCCAGCTTTGTCCTCCAGGCTTCTCCGTGCAGCACCAACCGAGATCCGGAGGTCGGGGAGGCGGGGTCGCAGTGGTCTATAGAGATTCCATCCATCTGACCAGGTGCCCCATCCCGCAGACCACAAATTTTGAATGCGTCCACCTGAGGGTGGGTGACCGGGACAGAATAGGGATTCTGTAGTGTACCGTCCACCTCGCTGCACTACAGTCTCCCTACCTGAGCTAGCGGGGGTGGTCTCGAGCCTGGTGTTGGAGTCTCAACAGCTTCTTGTGCTGGGAGACTTCAACATCCATGCCGAGGTGACCCTCACAGGTGCGGCTCAGGACTTCATGTCTGCCATGGCAACCATGGGGCTGTCCCAACAAATATCTGGCCCCACTCACTGTGCTGGACACACATTGGATTTGGTTTTCTGCCAGGGATGGGAACAGGGTGGCGGTGTGGAGGAGTTGTCCATCTCTCCGTTGCCGTGGACCGACCACTTCCTGATCAGATTTAGGCTCACTGCGCCCCCTAACCTCCGCAAAGGTGGAGGACCCATTAAGATGGTCCGCCCCAGGAGGCTTATGGATCCGAATGGATTCCTGACGGCTCTTGGGGATTTTCCCGCCACCTCGGTAGGTGACCATGTCGAGGCCTTGGTCGCTCTCTGGAATGGGGAGATGACCAGGGCAATTGACATGATCGCTCCGGAGCGTCCCCTCTCAAGTAGCCGAGCTAAACCAGCCCCTTGGTTCACTGAGGAGCTGGCAGTGATGAAGCGAAGGAAGAGGGAACTAGAGAGCGTGTGGCGTTCGGATCCAAGCGAGTCAAACCGAGCACGGTTTGTGTCCTTTCTTAGGGCATATGCCGCGGCAATAAAGGCCGCAAAGAAAACTTTCTTTGCGGCCACTATTGCGTCTGCAAAGAACCGTCCGGCGGAGTTGTTTCGGATTGTCAGAGGTCTTTTAACTCCCGCCACCTCAGGCGGGAGCCCTGACAATTCGGTCACGCGCTGCGAAGCATTTGCTCGGTTCTTTGCAGACAAAGTCGCCTTGATCCGTTCTGGGCTGGACACCATGTTAAATGCAGTCTCTGAGGATGTGACACGAGCACCTGCTTGTCCTATTCTGATGGATTCTTTTCAGTTTGTGAAGCCCGAGGATGTGGACAAGATACTTGGAGGAATGAGGCCCACCACGTCCATCCTAGACCCCTGCCCATCCTGGCTTCTGAAGGAGGCCAGAGGGGGATTGGCTGAGTGGGTAACGGTGGTGGTTAATGCCTCCCTTCGGGAAGGCAAGATTCCAGCGAGCTTAAAACAAGCTATTATAAAACCGCTGTTGAAGAAACCATCACTGGACCCCACTAAATTTGACAACTTTCGGCCTGTTTCCAATCTCCCCTTTTTGGGCAAAGTCATGGAAAGCGTGGTGGCCTCACAACTCCAGGTATTCTTGAGCGACACGGATATTCTGGATCCGGCACAGTCTGGTTTCAGACCGGGACATGGTACCGAGACGGTCTTGGTCGCCTTAGTGGATGATCTGCGCCGGGAGCTAGACAGGGGGAGTGTGTCCCTGTTGGTGCTCCTGGACCTCTCAGCGGCCTTCGATACCGTCGACCACGGTATCCTTCTGGGGCGCCTTGCGGAAATGGGCCTTGGGGGCACTGCTTTGCAGTGGCTCCAGTCACTCCTGGAGGGCCGCACCCAGAAGGTGTTATTGGGGGACTCCTGTTCTACACCACAACCTTTGACTTGTGGAGTTCCACAGGGTTCCATACTGTCCCCTATGCTGTTTAACATCTACATGAAGCCGCTGGGGGAGATCATCCGGAGTTTCGGGGTACGGTGTCATCTGTACGCAGATGATGTCCAACTCTGTCACTCCTTTCCACCTGCTACTAAGGAGGCTGTCGAGGTCCTGAACCGGTGCCTGGCCGCTGTAACGGTCTGGATGAGGGCGAACAAATTGAAATTGAATCCAGACAAGACAGAGGTACTCCTGGTCAGTCGCAAGGCCGCCCTCCGTCTCCCCCCGATTACCCACCGCCATCCACCTCCCACACCCCGACACACTCCCGCCGCCGTCCCCCTCCCGCCCCAGTCGCAAGGCCGAACAGGGTATAGGGATAGCCTGTGCTGGATGGGGCCGCACTCCCCTTGAAGGCGCAGGGCGCAGCTTGGGTGTGACCCTGGATCATCTTTGAGCCTGGATCCCCAGGTTTCAGCGGTGACCAGGGGAGCATTTGCACAGCTTAGGCTCGTGCGCCAGCTGCGCCCGTACCTTGGGAAGTCTGACTTGGCCACGGTGGTACACGCTCTGGTCACATCCCGACTTGACTACTGCAACGCTCTCTACGTGGGGCTGCCCTTGAAGACGGCCGGAAGCTTCAGCTAGGTTCAGCGCGCGGCAGCCATGTTACTAACGGGAGCGGGACGCAGGGAGCATACAACGCCCTTGTTGTCCCAGCTCCATTGGCTGCCGATTTGCTACCGGGCCCAATTTAAGGTGCTGGTGTTATCCTACAAAGCCCTAAACGGCTCCGGCCCAAAATACCTTTCGGACCGCATCTTGGCCTATGAGCCCACGAGGACCTTGAGATCGTCTGGGGAGGCCCTTCTCTCGATCCCGCCTGCCTCACAGGCACGCTGGCGGGGACGAGAGAGAGGGCCTTCTCAGTGGTGGCCCCCCGGCTGTGGAACACTCTCCCTACAGACATCAGGCAGGCGCCCTCCCTTATGTCTTTCCGAAAAAGCCTTAAGACATGGCTGTTCGAGAGGGCATTTAATTAAGTGCTATAATAATGTGGTAAAGATGACTGGAATGGAACAAGGAATACGAGATTGGTGACGATTCTACTATGAGACGAAGCGGATTAGTTAGTGTAATTTTATAATTGTTGTATTGTTGTATTGCCAATATGCTGTTTGTAATTGCCTTTTTGTAAATTGCCTTTTTTATGCTGAAGGGCTGAGAATGGCGGTTAATAAATGCACCAAATAAAATAAATAAATAAATAAATAAATATTTCCGAATGATGCGCGGATCCAAGTATTGTGTTTTGCAATTGACAGATCATGATTTTGTTGATGTTTATTGTTTCCAAATGCCAGCTGAGATCTTTTGGCACGGCACGGCACTCAATGATAATAATAATAATAATAGTTGTTGTTGTTGTTATTATTATTACTACTCTCATTTTTTTATACCTCACCTTTTCTCTCCACAAGAAGGCTCAAAATGGCTCAACAAGGAGACTCAAAGCAGCTTTAAAAGAATGAATGCTGAACTTATGTGTCATGGACAATAATTTGCACTTTTTTGACTCCCACAAAGTCACAGGAAACACATTATCCTGATTGTACATGCAGGTTTATGCAAAACTATGTAGCACTCGTTTTTTATTATTTCTTTACTCAAATAGCACAGTTGAACAGTAGAGATGCATGGTGACAAACTGTGGAAATTCTTGTTCTATGGATAAGTTTATTGTAAAAATGCGCTCCATTGTGACAAAACTCCATCACTGGTATAAATGGACATGGCACCATCACTGCTTGCTTTCATCTCTGTTCCCAATCATGCTTAGGAAGAGTAAAATTAACTTGTCTTCGTCATGAATGGCATCTTAAGAATCATATCCATTTGATGCTGTGTGTGTGTTTTTTTAAAAAAGAGCTTACTATAGCTTTTTTGCTTCTAAGCTGCTGAGGTGGGCTCATCTCCTCTTCTTCAGCCATCCCTGGGATGAGACTGCAGTCCTCTCTCCAGTTTCATAATGCTCCGAATGCCTCCATTTACATCACCGTGTGCAGCGCCGGGCGGCGGGCTGCTGCTGCCAGGAAATTTGAAACTGTTCTGATTCCAGTTGACTTAGAACGGCAGCAATTGAATTAAGCCGGTATCCTTATTAGATAAACTGATGACCTCTGTGTTTTCATTGACCAATGGGTAACTGCTGGAGCTACAGTAATCTCTGTGAGTAGTCGGCCTCTCTGTTCAACAAAATGATAGCTATTTGTTCAGTGAGATGATAGGGTTTTATCGACACGCGCACCCCAGCAACGTGTGTAAAATAGTCCTCTCGTTTCCGAGATTGAGACTGTGATTTGCTTCTTGGACTGGGGTTGATTCTTCCATCTCAGGGCTGCCTGTGGTTGCGTTTGGCTTTTGGTAGGATATTTTCCCCGACTAGATATTTCCCTGTAAGATGGAACACATTTATTCCAGTGCTCCAGTAAGTTAGGGATTCTTAACAGTACCAGTCATCAGGAAAGGCACCAGCTGCTTTCAGGCTATATTTGCTTTCATGGCTCAGCTTTCTCACGCAGCTTTTTTAACCTCCAGGCATGAATGTGTTTCTCCAAAAAAAGACACGGTTTAAATGGTCTTGGGGGGGGGGGGGGGGGAGGAACATAGCAAAATGGTTACCTGATGTGCATGTGTATATGGGGAGAAATTCCTCAGTTCCTTTTCCACTGCGTGTGATTTTCCTGCATGTCTTCGGCAAAGTCACAATTAAATTCACTGCTCCATTTCGAGCGATGCCTGTGAGTCAGTTATATTGGGGTGTCGGAGGAGGAAAGATTGACGGGATATGCCCATTGCTTTCACGAGACATAATGCGGTGTGGCTTGATGGGAATGAAGGAGGAGTTACTTTTAAAGAGCCTGAAGCTCTCTAAAGCTTCAGGCTCTTTCAAAGGCCAGCAGTAGCAGGGGGTGGGGTGCTTTTGAGCAAAGGCATGACAAAAAGTCCTGTGGCAATTTAAAGCCTATCCAGTTTGTTCTGGCATGAGCTTTATGGATTGCTGTCCACACAAGCTTGTGCTAGAATAAACCTTTTGTCTCCGAAACATTGCTGGACTTTTGTGTTTTGCTGCGGCAGACTAAAAAGTAAAGGAGAGTAGCTTTTTTTCAGGGGATGGCCAAAATAATAATGATTTTTGTGAGCCCACATTGTGGGTACCTTGAAGCTGTAGCTGCACAGCTCTGATTCTACACAAAGTACTTACATAACAAACTTGGAAATTGAGATTGGATTTATCTCCCGCCCACTTGATAAACTGCTTAACTCTTATCTAATTCACACTAAAGCAGCACCAGAATAATAACATCTAACATCTGTGTCTAGCTTTGTGGTGTATAAAGTGTTTTCTGTTGTGTTGTCATCTTTATGATGATCCTGTAAAGTAGATGACGATGGTTATCTCCATTTTGCAAAGGCAGAATGACTGGTCTAAATCCCCTTAGTGAGCTCATGCAAGAGGTCCGATTTACATTTGGGATTTCCTGATTGATAATTCCGTCTCTTATCTGCTATACTACAGTCAGCCCTTTACACTCACTGGGCTTAGGGTCACAGCACCACCACAAAAATGGAAAGATCTGCAAATAAAAAACTTGCTATATTTTATGTGAGAGAGCACACCCCTGACAGATAGCCATTAAACAGAGGCTGGATGGCCATCTGTCAGGGGTGATTTGAATGCAATATTCCTGTTTCTTAGCAGTGGGTTGGACTGGATGGCCCATGAGGTCTCTTCCAACTCTTTGATTCTATGATTCTAAGATCTCACTAGGAATCTGTAGGCCCTCCAGCATGACTTTATAGTCAATTTCCACTTGAGGGTAACCATGGAATCTCATTGGAAGATCTAGAAATCTGTAGAGGTGCTCTCTCTACATATTTCCAGGTTCTCCGCTGCAATTGTGTAGTCAATTGGAAATTGACCAAAAAGCAGGAGTGTCAAAACTCATTTTCACGAGGGCCACACCAGTCTTATGATTGCCTTCAAAGGATCGTTTCTAATTGTATACAACTAGTGGTATAAATGTAATTTTGTTGTCCTGGCATTGAAAGCCTCTTAGGTCACATAAAATGATGTGGTGGTCCAAATTTGGCCCGTGGTCCGTGCATTTGACACATGTGCCGTAGAGTCATACTGAAGAACCTAGAAAGTCCTAAAGAACACATTTTAATGAAATGTGCAAATAAATTAGATCTGTAAAAGTCAAACAAGCCTGGAAATATGGAGGTGAGAGCATTTCAGGTAAGAGCATTGAACTATGACTCTGGACACCAAGGTTAACAATGGACTCCACATGACAATGGAAATCTACTGGGTGCCCTTGAGGGTCTGTTCTTGTCCCCAGAATATCCCATGATAAGTTCACCTTATAGTTGCTATAAGTTGGAATGTGAAGGCACACAAGAGCAACCACAACTCAACAGAGATATAGTGGAGGGAACGGAAATCAGTATCAGAATTTTACAGATTGGTTTTTGTTCTGTTCCCCACATGGCCTTCCACACAGCCATATAACCCAGAATATCAAGGCAGAAAATCCCACAGTACCTACTTTGAACTGGGTTATCTGAGTCCACACTGCCATATATTCCAGTTCAAAGCAGAAAATGTGGGATTTTACTCACCTGTGTGTCAGGGGCCATACTTTGAAGAGGTTTTATAGTATTATGCAGGAGATAGTTCAGTATGCACTGCCCTTTTGAAACCTTAGCCCTGCCACATCCATTCATGCAGATCTCTTGATTTCTTCATGGTTGATATACTCTGCACTTGCTGCCTTCCAGCTGAACGTTTTAGTTGACTTACTTTAAATAAGACTGTGTTTGTTTCTTTCCTAGGATGCCAAATAGATCTTTGCATGGAAAAGCATTGCATGATGCTGCAGTGATAAAAGCTAGCATAAAGACTCCTATGTTCCTTTGTTTCTCCAAAGGGTTTAGGGGTGACATGGGCAAATTTGGGCCCTCTAGGAGTTTTGAACTTCAACGCCGACAATTCCTAACAGTCTACCGGCTGTTAGGAATTGTGGGAGTTGAAGTCCAAAACTCCAGGAGGGCCCAAGTTTGCCCATATCTGGTTTAGAGTGTATATATGGGATTTACAGTATAGCTCTTTTTCTTGTATTGCAGGGTCCCAGTCCTGTTCTTACTACAGGATTGGGATGTAGTTAGCTGTTGCTTCTCAACTCGGATTAACACATATACTCTTTATTGCCCCAAATCTTAGTCTTCAACAGACACATTTAACATGTGATGCTTTCTCCAAACTGAGTTAAATTATGGGGAAAGCTTCACTTTTACTTATGTTGGCATTTTTTTATAAGAACGTTAAGGGATCTTGGGCCCTTCCACACAGCTCTATATCCCAGAATATCCAGGTAAAAATAGAGATTACTTTCAGGTAATTGGTTGCTTCCTAAAAAGAAGGTGACAGTTGAGTAGAACGCGAAAACTTTGTGTGCCAAAAACTTCATGAAATGTGTGAAGGGCAGATGTTCTCTGTTTAGGAGAAAGTTGTGGCCCCCTAGTCAACATTGTACATCTTTTCACAATAAGAGCGATCAGGAACAGACATGTATAACCCAGGAACAACACCCTGTCTGCACATATGGCCTTCCAGCTTATACAGTATAACCCAGGAACGAAACTTATACAATGATTTGCATATTTGCATGTTCACATCTTAAGATTTTTTTAAAAAAGAAAAACCACCAAAATTTCTGGCGGAAGTGTCACTGCAGCCATCTTGGGGGCTTCAAAATCCCGCGACAAAGCATCAAGTGTGGACAATGGAGGCAGAAATCCTGGGACCAACAAGTCTGTATCTGGACATCTTCTCAGGTCCCAATTATTTTTTGCCTCTGATTAAAGCGTGTGATTTGGTGCTGTCTGAAACCGCCTTCTATCTCCCAGTGGTTCATATTCAGTCTATTATGAGGAGTGACACATCTGTGCCTCTTGAATCCCCATCCAGGCTCCTTCTCATTTGTCTGTGTGGATTAGTTATGCACAGGGAATTTCTGTTAAGGCAAGAGGCTAAAAGGACGCAGGGTATGCTGGATGCTGTTGCATTGAGAAAAGAAGTGAAGTCTATATGATAGTCTGCAGAAGTTCTCCTCAACTTAGTGTCATCCATTTTTTTTGTAATAGAACATTCATCGCTTCTTGCTAGCCTGACCCTTCTGCCTGTGGATGATGGGAATTTTAGTCCAATTGGAGGGCATAAGTTCAAGAGGAATACACTTATCCTTTGTGTAGTGAAAATACAATGTAGTTTATATTCTTTGAGTGATAAAGTGACTTCAGATTTGTTAAGAAAGTATAGAATTGTATTGGATATGATTTCAGTCTCATGTTTTTCCTTCATAATTTCAAAGTATATATGAGGGGTGTTTTTTAAGTAAGGTCCGTTTGAACATAAGTACACAACGAAAATTTATTTCAAAAAAGTAAATTTCTTTTCAGAAAGTACATACTTCACTCTATTTTTCGACATAGTTGCCAAGTTTGTTCAAATACTCATACCTCTGAACCAATTTTAAAATACCCTCTTCATAAAAACTTGCCGCCTGCTCTGATAACCAAGAGTTCACTGCTGTCTGTAATCAAAAAAGGAGCGGTCCTCATCATGGACGTTGTCACTGCCATTTTTGAATTGTCGTACCCACTTACGCACTTTGCTTTCACTCATAACAGTATCACCGTACACTTCACAAATCTGTCGATGAATTTCTGCAGCAGGCAGGTTCCTTGCTGACAAAAACCGTATCACTGAGCGAACCTCACTTGCGGAGGGTGAGTTGATAATCTTAAACATTTTTAAAGCACAGAACAGAACCATACAGGTTAGCTACAGAGCAGAAACTGAGCACAGTTGTCCCGAGGCGTGCCGGTACACAACGCACGCGCTCTTTGTGGTATGCACGCGAACGACTAGTGTCTACAACAAAATGGACCTTACTTAAAAAATACCCCTCGTATTTCTGCCCAATATTGGATCATCTTGTCACGTTTCAAACATATTTTATTCTTTTGGGGAATATGTATTGTCAAGAAACAAGTCCATTCCGATAGTATCTAATGTGGGTAGAGAGAAAGAGCACTACAGCTAGAATCCACAAGTCTTGAGAGCCCAAGTGTGACACCCCATTTACCATAGTTAATCATTTTGGGCTTTTCTCCTTTCCTTGCAGTAGATGGCCTAGTTGGTCTGTTTCAGATGCTGTGTGGCATTTAATTTTTTGTTTTTAATTGGCAATGAAAATATAACCACTGGTAGTACGCATAATCATATGAGCGCACAGGTGGCCATTGTCATGTCACAACAATGGCTGTGTCAATACGACCTCGGATTCACGCGAAGCGTTCCCTAAGCAACAATTGTTCTATTGTCTCCTAGGAACTATTCAGCCCATGGCTCTGGGATAAACAAAAGTAAGCTGCTGGGCAGTAGCTTGACAATCAGCAGAAAGAGCTTAACAAATAGTGACTAGGAGGTGGAGATAGAAAATGAAGGCCACTGCTGGAGCCCCACTAGAGCACAATGAAGGTTCAGCTACATACCACATTAAAGACTTAGCTCACAGATGTGCCTTCTTTACGTTTTAAATATATGGAGGGGGGCAGTATTCTTCCTGGCCTCCAATTTTATTAATTGCCCCACATACAGCTCTGGGATTCAAGAGGGAAAATAATGCTTGCATTGTTATCTATGGGAACTTTGAAATACACATATTTATACGAATGTATGACATATATTGGGAGACTGGACCCAGGTCAAAATACATTATTATTATTATTATTATTATTATTATTATTATTATTGACACAAAAGCACAATATGTCACAGCAAATGAGATCTATATGCTGGATTTCGTATCACAAAATCACAAGTCGGACATTCCCAAGCGTCTAGGACAGTGTTATGTATTTTCGAATGATGCGCGCAGATCCAAGTAAGGTGGCCTTTTACAGTTGACAGATCATGATTTTGTTGATGTTTATTGTTTCCAAATGCCAGCTGAGATCTTTTGGCACGGCACTCAGTGTGCCGATGACCACTGGGACCACCTGTACTGGTTTATGCCACAGCCTTTGCAGTTCGATTTTGAGGTCTTGACAGCGGCTGAGTTTTTCCTGTTGTTTCCCCCCAATGCAACTGTCACCTGGTATGGCACCATCAATAATCCAGACTTTTCCCCCCCCACAATCATGATGTCTGGTGTATTGTGTTCCAAAACACATTATTATTATTATTATTATTATTATTATTATTATTATTCTGACACAAAAACACAGTATGTCACAGCAAACAAGATCTATATGCTGGATTTCGTATCACAAAATCACAAGTCGAACACTTCCCAGGCGGCGGCTGCTTCTTCTTCTTCTTCACCAATACATCACATTGTCCTAGACACTTGGAAAGTATCTGGCGTGTGATCCAATACAACAGCCAGCATAGTGATCTTGTTTGCTGTGTACTATTCATTTATTTATTTTTATTTATTTATTATTTGAACTTATATGCCGCCATTCCCCTGGGGCTCGGAGCGGCTTACTAATCTTGTTGTGTATCAAATAATAAGAATACTTCATTTGTATTCTTCTCTATCTCCCTGAGGGGGTTCAGGGCAGATTCCAGGATATACAGACAAAGGCAAACATTCAATGCCTAGAAACAGCAAAACACAGATAAAAGCAAAGGCTTCCCCTTTTGGCTCTGTGGGGTGGTGCTCATCTTCATTTCTAAGCCGAAGAGCCTGCATTGTCCGTAGACATCTCCTCGGTCATGTGGCCAGCATGACTGCATGGATCGCTGTTTACCTTCCCGCCAAGGTGGTACCTATTGATCTACTCAAATTTGCATGTTTTCAAACTGCTAGGTTGGCAGAAGTTGGGGCTAACAGTGGGAACTCACCCCGTCCCACGGATTCGAACCACCCACCTTCCAGTTAGCAAGTTCAGCAACTCAGTGGTTAGACCTGTTGTGCCACTACAGCCTCTATATTATAAATACATTTATGTTTGAACTCCATATCTTACACATACCTATGTTTGAAATCCACACCCTACAGGTAATTTCACAGACAATAATTTTGAACAGTTCTGTGCATGAAATAAAGTTTGTGTATACTGAGCCATCAGGAAGCAAAGTTTGGATGGATATCTTGGGTTTGGAAATTCCGGATTTGGAATACTCCGCCAATGTTAATTCCTGCACATGAGGAGTTTTAGGACATCTCTCCACAGCACTCATGTTATCGATCCCCTTCTATATCCATTTCCTTTCCAGAACAGGCAAAATGTGTGGATAGTTCCTTTGAAGACTTGTTTTAGGAATTATTTATAATGCCTTCCCTTTTGATGCACAAGAAGTGTTATGCTGATATTATTGTTGGCAATGCAGCAATTAAATAGAAGTTTCTCAACCTTTGAACAATTTCTGGTTCTTTGCCCATCAAGAAAAAAATGTCTTGCTCATGTCAAGGGCTCTGAGCATCCATTTACAAACAACTGAAACCAGTGTTGTACGAAAACAATGGGTACTACTGGGTGCTGTTCCCCTTTTGGAGCTTTTGCATGTTGGTTTTCTAAACAATTCAGTTTTTAACAATCTAAACATACAGTGAGATAAAGCTACTATCCTGACTAGTACTGGGGACAGTTATGTCCTTTTAAAATTTACTGTATGCAATGGAAACACCCGCCACCACTCAGTCATGTGCTTGTAGTGCAGTGCTTATCTTTAGCCGAATTATCCTTTTGACTAAAGTGAAAATATAACAATAGGCAGTGATAGAACATTTTGGCTCTGATAAGTTTGCTTGGTGCTGATAGCCCTCCAAAACTGAATGGTAGCTCCCAGGAACCATCCTGTTGAGATGTGTTTTTATCTGTTTTCCCCATTGATGAGATCTCACACTGTTTTGGACGTAACAGGATGGGTTCTTTCCTTCAACCTATTGGTATCTGATCTAGAGAAAAGGTCTATGGGATTTGCCATTACCATAAGCTTCTACAGTTAGAAATGCTTTTCTCCCCATAGAAAAAAAAACCTTTCTCCTAGGTAATGAGGCCAAAGTTACAGGGATAGCTTGAGTTTGCCGTATTCCTATTTTCCCACCATTGTCATGATTTGGCTTAAGATCGTATCTGTGCAACACATTTTCATTTTTCAGTCGTTCACAGATCTTGGCTTGGTGGTGTGTCAGGCTGTAATTTCTGATCACCAGTTATGTTATTTATCAGAACCAAACTGAGAATACAGTTATGATGTGTGTGTGTGTTTGTGTGTGTGTACACATACAGACACACACACACACACACACCGCAAACAAAGTTAAAAACTTGGCATTATACTAGATTTCCTTTGACCAGAAGCTGGCTACTTGGAGTTCCTCTGGTGGCACTGTAAGAAGGTCCTCTATTGTGCATGTGGCAGGGCTCAGGCTACATTGTAGTAAGTGGTCTGTGGTTTGCTCTTCTCCACAATTGCATGTTGTGGACTCCACTTTGTGTCCCCATTTCTTAAGATTGGCTCTTCATCTCGTGATGCCAGAGCACAATCTGTTCTGTGTCATCCAAGTCGCGCAATTCTCTGAGTGCCCATGGGGCAGTTTCTCATCTGGTTTCAGCCACTGATTGAGGTTTTCGCCTGCCATTTTTGGGTTCTTGCTTGCTGAGGTGTTTCTGCAAATATCTCTGTAGATCTTAGAAAGCTGTTTCTTGATCTAAGACATTGGCATACTGGCTGAAATCCAAGCAGAGGATGGACCGGAAATGTTAATGCCTTGGTCCTTTCATTACTGGCTGCTACTTCCTGATGATTATTAGGTGGTGCAATACTGACTAAACAGTATAATCTTGTGTGTTTAATGTTTGTTTTTATATTGCTCTGTTTCTTATTATATTGGTTTTGCATTCTATGTTTTTTTTATTTTTTAGTTCTGTTATGCTTTTGTGTTATATTGTGTTTTACTGTACTGATGGGCGTGGCCTCATGTAAGCCGAGCGGGGTATAAATAAAGTATTATTATTATTATTATTATTATTATTATTATTATTATTATTATTATTTCTCCAGTAGTGTAGGGCGTAGACATCCTGTGATAATGCGGCATGTCTCATTAAGAGCGACGTCCACTATTTTAACATGGTGAGATGTATTTCACACTAGGCATGCATATTCGGCAGCAGAGTAGCAAAGCCCAAGTGAAGATTTCTTCACTGTATCTGGTTGTGCCAGTCAGCTATTGTATGATATTATTTCTAGCACCCGCTTTTTGCTTGATGGCCATGCAGTTCTTGTAAGTCAGAGCATGGTCCAGGGTAACTCCCAAGTATTTTGGTGTGCTTCTTGCCCCAGTGGAATTCCTTCTCAGGTAATTCTCAAATCAGCAATAATTCTTTACCATACTTAAGTCCAAAAAATGAAGGAGAAAGAGAGGCTCTTACCCTCATATTCTTCATGGACTGGTTGGATCTTCTCATGGTTCAAGGCACTCTCAGCACTTTCCTCCAACACCACAGTTCAAAAGCATCTATCTTCCTTCGCTCAGTCTTCCCTATGGTCCAGCTCTCACATCCGTAGGTAGCTATGGGGAATACCATTGCTTTAACTATGCAGATCATCGTTGGCAAAGACCTATAAACCCTAAAGAAAGTGTTTTTTCTCACTGTTAAAATACAGTTTATATTTCTACTTTATAATTCTATTTACTATTGCTATTCTTTTTAATCTTCACGTCTCACAAGTGACTTTACTGGGGAACCTTGACCTCCAGAATACACTTCTGTTTCTCCCACACCTACAAGCTGCCATAAATACAACCCAAGTTGTAAAGTCTAAATAAGAAATGACATCATCCAGAAGAGGCAGGAGCACAACAGGAATGAAGGCAAAATAATAGTAATGGAATTAAGTGCTTAATTTTTTGTTTGTTGTTTTCACAGGTGGCCATGGAGGCAGTAATCTTCTCACTCACAACGTTACAAATGAATTCCCAGAGTATGGGACTGTGGAAGAAGGAGCCAAGACGTTGGAAGTGACATCTGAGTGTCATGGAGAGACCATAATATGTGCTTCAGATGGACAACCAAGTGACCCATTATTCTGTGGGACTTGTGAAAATGGTAGCCCTGGAGACAGGAAAGAATCATCATGTGAAGGGTTTCAAACCCCTCTCCAAGAGGGAGAACTGGCTCCCAAAGAGGACAAACTGAGTAAGATGACAAAAAATTCTGAAAATTTAGTATGCGAAAATGCATGGGATGGAGAGGAGAATGTCTTCTGTTCCAAGTTGCAAGTGGAAAAAGATAAGAAGACTGGCAGAGTGGTTGAGGAGACAGCCAGAGAGGAAGTTCTTGCAGGCCAAGAAGAACCTACAGCAATGCCACCTCCATCTGAAATAGCTGCAGAGAGAAAATTGTATTGGATTACAAAAGAAGATTCTATGGTCTTGACTGTAGAAATAGAGCCCGAAACCTCAAAAACAGTTGGTAATAGGACTGAGGAGCCCCACAAATTGTGTGAAAAAGGTAGACCTATATCATTGGCGGGCCCAGAGAGCAAATGTGGTGAGGCTGCCAGTGCCCTTGGGGGTGCCTGGGCAGACTTTGAGCAGCAGTTTTCTGTGTTTGAACCAGAAACAGTAGAAAGAGCATCTGAGAGGAGGATATCGAAAGAGGCAGCTGTGAGCAAGCATGTGGAATTTCAAGGGGTGGAAATCCTTTGGATACAAAAAGCAGAGGAGCAGAAGGTTACAGGGCACCCTGAGGGTGGTAGTCTCGAAAAGAGAACATTTGCTTCTATACCAAACTGCCACACTCCATCCCCAGACCCAGCAGAACCAGGTGGCTTGCTTGAGCGTTCGTGGAATGTGTCCTGGGAAAACCTCAAGCCCTTACCTTCTATGGCTGAAGGTGGAGAGGATGACGTCTTTGTCACAGAAGCCAAGAAGGACTGGGTTCAGGAGCAGGACAGGTAAAAATGCAACCCTGATTCTATACGTTTGGGGGCCATGGAGGAACTTCTTGGATTACAGTTTGGCGGGTGGGGAGATACAAATATATTGCTGTTTTTAACTCCCAACAACAATAATGCATAATATTCAAAAACTGTATTACATTCAGTCCTCAATATTAGCTTTGGTTAGGAGCACAAGACTCCCGCAAAAGGACAAAACCACAAATTTAAAAAATGTGTTGGAGAGAACACACATTAGCATAGGTCTTCCAGCACAACATTTTGATCAGTTTCTGTTGGAACATAACTAAGGAATCACACCAAAAGACGTAGATTTCCAGAGAGATGTTCTCTCCAGGAACCTCAAAGTCTTCCAGGATACATTCTTAGTTAATTTCTTAGAAAAAAAACTTAATCAAATCCATAGATAATCAAACCTGCAAATGTGGAGGGATTACTGTAGTCTGTTTCTTCATAGCAAGATATAAAAGAATCCTGCAGCTCATCTGAGGGCCCTTTCCCACATCCCTATATCCCAGAATATCAAGGTGGAAAATCCCACAATATCTGCTTTGAACTGGGTTATCTGAGTCCACACTGCCATATATTCCAGTTCAAATGAGATCATGTGGGGTTTTATTCAGCTGTGTGGAAGGGGCCTGAGACTAATCGAGAAAAAGAAATTTATAGAAGAAGCTATCTTGGAATCCCGTCCTGGACTCCAATCCAATTTACATATGCATTTGATGAAGTGGATTTGAGTTCATGAAAGGTTACATTAGAACTTTCTTTTTGATGTAGTCTCAAACATTYCACCGAATTCCTTTGTATCTTCTATATAAATAAAAATATAATGTTCGTTTGTGGGATTAACAKAACTCAAAAGCCACTGGACRAATTGACACCARATTTGGACACAACACACCTAACAGTCCAATGAGTGTCCATCACCCCTAAACACACACACACACACAACCCCAGCGGAACAGACTTAAAAACCCCAAAAATACACAATATATACATATACACATACACTCATATACATATACACATGCACACATTCATACACACACACAYGTATATATATGCACAAACATACACAAAYATACACACACATACATATACACATACACATGCACACATACATATATACATAGACACATGCACACACATATACATACACACATACATACACACATATACACACAAATATGCATATAGATAAGCACACAAATATACACAATATGCATGTACACATATAAACACACAAATACACAAATATATATATACACACACACATATACATACATACACATGCACAGGGATATCCATATACACATACATACACACATATTCATATATACATACATACATACCCACATATGCACACAAATATGCATATAGACCAGGGGTCCTCAAACTTTTTAAACAGAAGGCCAGGTCACAGTCCCTCAAACTGTTGGAGGGCCGGATTATAATTTGAAAAAAGCATAAATGAATTCCTATGCGAACTGCACATCTCTTATTTGTAGTGCAAAAAACATTTAAAAACAATACAGTAATTAAAATGAATAAAGTTTTAACAAATATAAACGTATTAGTATTTCAATGGAAAGTTTAGGCCTACTTTTGGCTGATGAGATAGGATTGTTGTTGTTGTGTGCTTTCAAGTCATTACAGACTTAGGTTGACCCTGAGCGAGGGCCAGGTAAATGACAGTGGAGGGCCATATTTGGCCCTTGGGCCTTAGATTGGGGACCCCTGATATAGACACACACATATACACAATATGCATGTACACATATAAACACACAAATACACAAATATATACACACACATATATATACACAAACACACGTATATACACAAATATACACATATAAACACAAACAAAACACATATACACAGACTGGGCCACAGCAATGCGTGGCAGGGGACTGCTAGTTTAATAATATATAATAAAGTACTTGATGGGCTACCAATTATTATTAATTTAAATATGTAGACCTAGTCCTAGTACTATTCAACACAGGGGTCCCAAAGCAGAGCAAAATGCACTCACTTCTGGAATATATTGAAAACTTTAGTATCTTGCTACGATGACAGTAGTCATTAATCACAAGATTAACATAATAGATCTGAAAAATGAAGGATTGGCAGAATAAAAACGGTGTATGAAGTTGCCTGGAAAAGCGCAGTGAGACATTTCCTGAGTCTCTGGTGAGACTCAGGAAAGAGAGAGTTGCACAGTTTTTGTGCCAAAACTAAGTGTGAAGTCTTTATCCAACAAATATCCAGTGGGAAAGGAATCCTCAGCAAATTCTGTCTGTCTAAGGAGGATTACTTAGGAGAGTATCGACCTTAGGAAAAATATCAAGTTTTGGACTCTTCTGAGAATCTCCCAGCTAGTCTGGCTGCTGGGGAGGAGATATTTTCTTCCTTAAGAAATGAAAGGGCTGTGAGGTGCATAGTCTGAAGGCCTTGCCTGTAGTGAATAGTGAATGAGGACTAACATGATGCTCTTGGGCAGGTGGTCAAAGCAGCTGCCTACTCTACTGAGGTCTTATATACACCTTTTGGCCCCGACTGTCATTCAGATGAACACATCTGCCTCTCATCTGTTTCAAACACAGCTACATAGCTCATCTGTGACTGTGTCTTGAAAATGAGAACAACAGGAAGATTCTTTCCCACATTGTCATAACTAAAATCGCAATATATAGCATGGCTTTTTAAAAATGACAACAAAAATGTGTCTGCATCATGTAACTTGAAGTGCTATAGTAGTTTATGCATTAAACATGCTATTGACACTTAAAGAGATTTCTGGTTTTGATCTGTCTTGCTTTTCTTGTATTTCTTTAGTTGCCTCTGCCATAGAAACAGTAGAGTTCCATTACCAAGTAGCAAACAAATTCTGGTCTGAAGCCAGTCACAGCCTGCTTTTTGAAATGCTAAATGCATCCGATGTTGCCTGTTTTGATTATTCGGGTTATTCCAAAGTTGGTCAGAATGTTCAGCCTGGCTTCCTGACTGTAGGCAAGCTATGAATGGGAACGCTGGGAGCTTTGAAAAACTGCCTCCTTGGTTTTCCAGGCAGTAGATAGGGAGGGAGGGTTTCAGTGAAGACGGGGCATTAGAGAAGCTGGTTTGTGGAAAGATGAGGCTTTGGAAGGACCAGCACTGAACGTGTGGGCAAGGTAAGGAGCTTCTGTAGACATGTGACTGTGACAAATCTGCTTATCTTCCTACTGAGGAATATCAGTAGTTGCCAGGCACAGTTTAGTTAAGCCTTCACAATTCTCATTGGGCATACTGGTTAGTGGTGATGGGTTTTGTTCACCCCCACAACTGCAGGACACCAGTTTCAGGAAGGATAACGTAATTGACTTGCTGGCATACTTTTTTTGCCACAGCAGGGTTGATCAAACTTTGAATAACTAAAAACTCAATGAAGTTCGATTTCTCCATATCCTTGGGCATGTTCTTCTTTTTTACAGAGATGGGGGAAGTGAGGTCTAGGCCCACATGGCATCTTCTCTTTCAAGCAAAGAATTGTCTGTGAAATAGCTGCTATTATGGGAATAGGCACAACTGGTGTGATTGTGTCCTATGCTGTGTGAAGGAATGGTTGGCCTTGATGAGCAAAGCCAGAACTTATTTAAGCACTAGCTGTACCCACCACACGTTGCTGTGGCCAACCTTCCCTCCCTCTTTCTCTCCATCTTTATTTCTCTCCTTCCATCCTTCTTTCCTTTCCTTCTCTCCATCCTTCTTTTCCTCTTCCCTTCCTCCCCTCCTTTTCTTTCCCTTCCTCTTTATCTCCTTTATTCCTTCTCAGCCTATTCTTGGGCTGCAACTCCCAGCAGTCCTCCTGATCTATATCTATCTATCTATCTATCTATCTATCTATCTATCTATCTATCTATCTATCTACTGGCCTACCTGTTTATTTATCTATCTCTATCTAATCTATCTTATCTATCTGGAGGATTGCTGGGAGTTGCAGTTCAGGAACAGAAAATTGGAAATATGCAGGGATTGGGATGCTCTCAAAGAAATCCTAAGAGAAGAAAGCTTGGAGCTCGGAAACAGTGTATTTGGATCATCCTCCTCTCCTAAAGGGCCTGGTCTAGGGGATACTGGGAGCTGTAGTCCGGAAGAGAGTGTGGATATGCTATTGTGTGTTTTGATTGCCAGGGGGAGTCATTTTGCGCATGCGCTGTAGTGTCTTTTTGCTTTTTTGTTTTTTAAGTCCCTTCTGATGTGTTTTTCAGTGTTTTATGAGTGATGGTCACTTGTTGGCCTGATAGGTGTCTTGTGTCCAAATTTGGAGTCAATTTGTCCAGTGGTTTTTGAGTTATGTTAATCCCACAAACTAACATTACATTTTTATTTATATAGACTAGCTGTCCCCTGCCACGCATTGCTGTGGCCCAGTCTGTGTGTATGTGTTTTATATGTGTATGTTTTTGTGTATATGTGTATATATGTGTTTGCATATATATATATGTGTGTGTGTGTGTGTGGTTTTGCGAATGTGTTGTATTTTTTATTTTTATTTTTTTGTGTTTTTCAGTGTTTTTATGAGTGAGGGTCACTTGTTGTATTGTGTCCAAATTCAGTGTCAATTCGTCCAGTGGTTTTTGAATTATGTTAATCCCACAAGCGAACATTACATTTTTATTTATATCCTAGCCATCCCTTGCTATGGCCTTGTGTATATGAGTTTTGTGTGTGTATGTATGTGTATATGTGTATATATGTGGTTTTGTGCATGTGTTATAATGTAATTTGTTTTTTAGCTTTTTAAATCCCTTCTGCCGTGTTTTTCAGTGTTTTTATGAGGGATGGTCACTCGTTGGCCTGATAGGTGTCTTGTATCCAAATTTGGTGTCAATTCGTTCAGTGGTTTTTGAGTTATGTTAATCCCACAAATGAACATTACATTTTTATTTATATAGATTTAAATGCCTACACTCCCAGTTCACATTCAGGATTCTGTGTGTGTGTGTGTGTGTGCTTGGGCCTATGTGTGAGTGATCTCTGAAACTCGCAAGATCTAAAGCTTTCTGTCTCCTCTGCCTAAACCTTAACAACTTTTCCTTCCTGCTCTTGCAACTTTTCCCCTCTTGACTCTGAGTAATGGTGACCATACTTCCCTGAAACTTTATTTGATCCATTCAGAACCTACTAAAGCAGTGGTTCTCAACCTGGGGTCCCCAGATGTTTTTCACCTACAACTCCCAGAAATCCCAGCCTATTTACCATCTGTTAGGATTTCTGGGAGTTGAAGGCCAAAAACATCTGGGGACCCCAGGTTGAGAACCACTGTACTAAAGCCTACAAGCCTGGTAAGGGAAGCTGGTTCGATGCAGAATATAGGAACCTAAAAAAAGTCCTATCACTGACTATTAGAGAAGCTAACAAAAATGGAACTGAACCAATTTATAAAAACTTGAGTGAAACACATTCACAATATAAGACCCTCTTAAAAAGGAAGAGTAATAGTGACCCTCTGAGTGAGAGGTGACCCTCCGAATGACCCAACTTAGCTCAGCTTTTGCAGACTCGGGGCTGTGATTTCCCTGATTAAATCTATCCATTTGGAATGTAGTCGTCGTCTTTTCCTGCTGTTGTTTACCTTACCAAGCATTATTGTCTTTTCTAGTGCCTCATGTCTTGTCATGAAATGTCCAAAGTACAACACTATTAATTTAATCAAATTGGCTTCTAGGAAGAGTTTTGGCTTGTTTTGCTCTACGGCCCATTTTTTCATCTTTTCCGCAGTCCGCAGTATCCATAGAGCTCTTCTCCAGCACATTTCACTTGAGTTTATTTTCTTTCTACCAGTTTTCTTCACTGCCCAGCTTTCACAACCATGCATTGAAATAGGACATACAATGGAATGGACAATTAGTGTCCTGGATTGTGAGCATAGCCAAGCACTGGTTTAGAATCTGGGATCAGGACTGAAAGGAGAATAATCAAACTAGAACTTGGAAATGTTTTTGCAACTCCTAGGCAACTATAGCCAGCAGAGCCATGTTGGCAGAGAGAGGAGACCTGAAGCTGTAGTCCAAAACAATAACTTTTCTAAACTATGTTGTACAGTGTGGGCCAAAATTCACAAAGGCATCTGATGTTTTTAATAACTCTTTGAAAATGTTTTTTTTAAAGATATCACATCTAATGTAATATAATTTTATTTCCTATGTATTCTGAACATGGTATGGTATTGTAAATTAAAAACAAAAAATAAAGGAGATATATTGAAACTGTGACTTTTGGTCCACCCTGTACTTTAAGTAATTTGTGACATGTGCATTTCTTCCACTGTTTGAACAGCTTAGTTCAGCCATTCCGATTTCAGAGGCAAAACTGTTTTGCTGCTTCTATTGACTCCACCGTTTGCGGTTTCCTCTTGTCCTGTGAGCTCTATGCAGGGAATTGATATTTTCTTTCATTGTAGTTACATTATTATGTTGTCATTTATATGGTAATAAGTCAGTAATAGTATAATCATGAAACTGGAATGAGTAGTATGTATTAAAACGACTCTGTAAATACAACTATAGGTGTCTGGAGTTTAATTTATTTATTATTTATTTATTTCTGCCATTTCTATCCCATTCCTTCTCAAAGGGGGACTTAGGGCGGCTTACATTTGGCAGCAATTCGATGCCACTAAATAACACAGCAATATAATAACAATTAAAACAATAAGTAAAACATTCATTACAACAGTAAAAACAATGTTAATAGCCGTAACTTCATTCCAGTCAATTCCATATCCAATTCCATGTCCAAAGTGTTATCTATCCATGTTGTCGAAAAGCCTGGTCCCAGAAACACGACTTCAATTTCTTCCTAAATGACAGGAGGGATGGAGCCAATCTTGCCTCAGTGGGAAGCAAGTTCCACAGTGGGGGGCCACAGCCGAGAAGGCCCTGTCTCGTCCACGCCAGACGTATTTGTGACGCTGGCGGGAGCAAGAGCAGGGCCTCCCCGGATGATCTTAAACTGTGAGGCGGGACGTAGAGGAATCTTACTTCAATGACTTTAAGAACGAACATCTTTGATACCATGGAAACTATTTTTTCCAATGTCTCAGTGGTAAGTCAAACCCACTTGGATGGAAGTTATGAGATTGGGAGTTTTACATCCCAAATCAAAGTATAGTGTGTTTTCAATCAGAGTATGTATGAATTTATTATTTATTTATTTACTTTATTTGTATACTGCTCTTCTCAGCCCTTAGGCTGAGACCTGGTGAATTGTTGGTTCTAAAGCAGTGATTCTCATCCTGTGAGCCATGGCCCAGCAGTGGACTGTGAAAACGAAAAAATCTGGTTGCGAACCTTCTTCCTCTTTATTTTATTTTATTTTCACTCCATTCCACAGAGCTAACCACCCTTGCCTCTTTTGGTACTAATGTTTTTAGAGTGGGCCCTGGTCAAAGTGGGCCCTTGTCAAAAACAGGTTGGGAACCACTGTTCTAAAGCAAAATCCTTTGCACAGAGCAGGTTTGGAAAGATTGTGTGTAGGATTTGTACTCCGTTTTTCTTTTTACACTTCACTCCATTGGAGAATTGATGAAGCAGACGTGAAAGGAACTATCATCAATTGGGTGAATTAACCAATCAATATCTATTACTTCAATCAAATAGCATAGAAAGACACATATCTGAATGGAACAGTGGAGCCAAGGGAAACTTTCTTCCATCTTGCTTTTCCAGAGTATCAATTATATCTGTGCTGTCCTTGTGGAGAAACATTGAATGTGACAGTGATGGGCAAGGGAGAGGCAGATGTGAGGGATACCTTTTCCCCTCTTCTGTATACTTACATACAACTCTTGCATGTCCTGTTTCATAATGCACAAACTCCTCTTGATAGGGAATTGTTGCCTCTGTTACTCTTACCTCTTCTTTGAGAGGTGTGTGTGTAAGTCCAGCCCATGGTCTCAGGGTGGTCCGCGATAAGGCCTTACTAGTACATTATTTAAATTGTTATGTTTATTCATATCATGATCTGATGACCATGCTCAATATATCTCATGCATGGGGTTATTGGGATAATGATACTAAAGGTTTGCTAGGGTAGATCCTGAGCTGTCCCCCCCCCCCCCCCCCCCCCCCGAATCAAACTCAGCCTCCCCTCCCCATCAAACTCAGCTGCTCCCTCAAATCAAAATCCTGGCTACGAGCCTGGTAGGTGTATGTGAATCCAATAATTTCATAGGGTTTCTTAGGCTGGATCAACATTGCTGTGCCGTCACACCCAGACACTATGAAGTTAAAACTAAGATGTGCTTCTCTCTTTATCTGGGAGAACCGTGGGTGCCTTTCTTAAAAGCTCCAAATTCTCAGAAACTGAGACCAGTCAAGAATTGAACATCAACAGAACATTTATTTTACAATGTCTTTGGCAGACTTGGCACAGCTTGATGAAGTTACAAACAAAACAGTCAATTTGGGAAACCATACAGATGTTCTTTCTTTCCCTTTTTCTTCAGTTACCGAGTTAACTTCTCCCCAATGATAGAAAAAATCCTGAGATCTTTTACCCTAACCCTGAGCTGTTGTCTTTCAGAAAGAGCAGGTCTTCCCCTATCTAAGCTCAAGATTAGTTTTGGAGATGAAGTAATGAAGCCTTTCTTAATGGCAGAGAAATCCGGAGATATTCCCTACCCCAGCAATGAGCTACTGTCTTCTAGAAAGAGCAAATCTTTCTCTGAGCTCAACGCCAGTTTCAAAGGCGAGAGGGTAACCTCGACCCTAATCTCAATCTCAATTATACTCACAATGGCTTGTCCGAGCTTGCCTAGCTGGCCACCAGCACATCTGAGGCTTTTTTCTATACTGAAGAAGGCAGGGAAGATTCCAAAATGGAGATCTCATCCCCAGGAAAAAATGCAGGCCCTAGACCCAAAGAGATACTTTTTTAAACCAATAGCTGCAAGGGCTTACAAGCTGGCTTCCAACCTCTGTTCATAATTAACTTTCAGGACTGCAGCAACCCTGGGGAAAAAAGCAAAGGGATGCTATTTCAAGCAACCAAAAAGCAAAGCAAACCAAGCTCCTGGAAGACGGAACAATTGCCCTATATATTTCCAATTTCTGCTCCCACATTATGTGTTTATCCCAAATTATCTTGCAGTGTAGACTCATATAATCCAGTTCAAAGCAGATAATCTGCAATCAGATTCTGGGATATAGGGAAGTGTAGAGCCAGACTATTTTTGCTAGTTCCTTAGCAGAGCTTTAAAAGCATTCAATAGCTTCTGAGTCAAAAATACACACCATGGAAAATTGCCATCTTCATTTCTCTGAACATGTGTGTCTGTCTCTAGTTGTAATTTATTCCTTTTGCTTTGTGGCCGAGATGTTGAGAGAAAAGACCTGGAAGCTGCAGAATCTTCTAAAATTAATCTAATATACAGGGAGACAGTATATCTTTTTGTTTCCCTGATGTTTCTTCGTAGGCATCATAATATCCTGGCCACTTTTGTTTCTACTCAGTAATGGCGGGGTGGAAGTGGGGGAGGAAAGACAAGACTGCCTGTTCTCTATCAACACAATTGCAACCAGACGTATAAACACTGGTACTTGATGATCAAAAGGAGAGGGCAATTTCTGTGCATGTGCACCCCCGGAAGGTCTAAGTGTTGCCACATACAAGTCCTAAAACAGAACATGAAGTGACTTTTTTTCTGTGTGCTTTGATTCCCAGGCTGATGGAGGAGGAAGAAGTGGTCAGTGGGAGAATGGAAGATGTCCTTGGGCAACCGCACTCCGAAGTCTCAACAGATGTGTACAGCTCCCAGTTTGAAAGCATTCTAGACAATGCCTCTTTATACTACAGCGCTGAGTCGCTGGAAACGTTATATTCTGAGCCTGATAGCTACTTCAGCTTTGAAATGCCACTCACTCCAATGATCCAGCAGCGTATCAAGGAAGACGCCCAGTTTTTAGAAAGGACTCCCGATGATGAACTAAGGAAGGGGCATTGTGGTGGAGTCACCAATGGACTGGGAGATGTGAAGGAGTCAGACATCACAGAAGATTGCCATTTGGAAAGGTAAGTTCTTGCTTGACATTTATGTGATATTTGTTGCTCCTGTTGCTGTGCCATCTCATTGATTGATGATGTCAATAAGCTTTTAAATCCTGTTTGTTGGCTGGGTGGCAAATCACAAATAAGATATTGGCAGATGTGTGAGAAGTTCTTGTACTGGAAGGAAATTTAAGGATAGCGATAGATGTACTCTCAATGGACAGAGGGATATAAATGCATTTTGGTCTGTTGGAGGTTGCCTGATGTAGTGACAAAGGCAGGTGTTAACACCACTGCTCCCATTAGGTGAAGATTTGTCCCTTGCCCAGTTGCAATCCACTTACTGTATATACTCGAGTATAAGCCTAGTTTTTCAGCCCTTTCTTAAGGCTGAAAAAGTCCCCCTTGGCTTATATTTGAGTCAAGGTTATTTATTATTTTACTCTGTTATTATTATTTTATTACATTTATTATTTTACTCGATGATTATTAGTAGTAGTATTATTACATTTATTATTCTATTGTTACTGTTATTATTGCATTTCCATTATTTTACTTTATTTATTATTGTTATTATTACATTTATTATTCTATTATTACTGATATTACATTTCCATTACTTTAAAATTATTGGAAGGATATGTAAGCACATTTACATTGAAGAAGTTTAGAATAATGGTTTTATCAGAGTTGGGTGATCTTATCTTAAATTACAGCTTTATGAAAATATTCAAAAAACATTTAATCCACTGATGCCTCAATTAATGGAATTGTATTGGTCTCTATTTTTATTTTGAATATTACCAGTAGCTGCTGCATTTCCCACCCACGGCTTATACTCGAGTCAATATGTTTTCCCAGTTATTTGTGGTAAAATTAGGTGCCTCGGCTTATATTCGGGTCGGCTTATACTCGAGTCAATATGTTTTCCCAGTTATTTGTGGTAAAATTAGGTGCCTCATCTTATATTTGGGTCGGCTTATACTCGAGTATATACGATATTTTGCAAGTATTTAGTGGTAGGTAAAGGTAATTTTTTTCCCCCGACATTAAGTCCAGTTCTGTCTGACTCTGGAGGTTGATGCTGATCTCCGTTTCTAAGCCAAAGAGCCGACGTTCGTAGACACCTCCAAGGTTATGTGCATGGAGCACCATTACCTTCTTGCCAGAGCAGTACCTATTGATGCACTAATATTTGCATGCTTTCGAACTGCTAGGTTGGCAGGAGCTGGGCTAGCTCACCCCACTCCCTGGATTTGGACCTGCAACTTTTCGATCAGCAAGTTCAGCAGCTCAGAGGTTTAACCCACAGTGCCACTGGGGGTTCCATATTTAGTGGAAGCTACTGAAAATACTGTTACTGTGGTGCAGTGGGTTCAACCCCTGTGCAGGCAGGACTGAAGACCGACAGGTCGCAGGTTTGAATCCGGGGAGAGGCGGATGAGTTCCCTCTATCGGCTCTAGCTCCTCATGCGGGGACATGAGAGAAGCCGCACACAAGGATGATAAAAACATCAAATCATCCAGGCGTCCCCTGGGCAACGTCCTTGCAGATGGCCAATTCGTTCACACCAGAAGCAACTTGCTTCTGACACGACAAAAAAAAAAAAAAAAAAAAAAAGTAGCTTCCTGAGTTTTGTTCCTTGGCTGTGCTATAACCTAACAAAACCCAGGAAACAACTTTTCTGTATCTATGTTGGTACGTTCTACATACAGTTAGCTTCTTGGAGATATGTTTAGAAACTGTTGCACATTCTAGTTTCTGCCTCCTTGAAGGTTTCATATTGTTCTGGTTTTAAGCAAGCTTTATCTTGGCTAGTATTTGTATGGGAAACCACTAGGGAATGTCAGCAATTTCTCAGCAGACATACTGACTGAAATCCTGAAGAGTCTTTGCTGTCAGTCAGAGGCCCCTTCCACACAGCTGAATAAAATCCCACATTTTCTGCTTTGAGCTGGAATATATGGCAGTGTGGACTCAGATAACCCAGTTCAAAGCAGATATTGTGGGATTTTCTGCCTTGATTTTCTGGGTTATATGGTTGTGTGGAAGGGCCCAGAGTTGACAGTTTTAAGGTGCTCTAAGGGAAGATGCATTTCTTTTCTTACATTCTTTTTTAATTCATTATCTTGTAAAGTTTCATGTGTAGTAATGCTTCTTTAAAAACAAACATGTTTCAGTACTCCAAGACAGAGAGATGTCTATGATTGTGGTGCCATTTGTGGACATCACTTTGCATATTATTGTTCCATTACATCAAGCAAGGCAGTCACCCCATATTTTGCATAATTCAGGAATTTGATTGTAAGGAAGTGCCACTGCTGTCATGGAAAGGCACAAAAGCAAATCCATAAAACTAAATTCCAAGATCTAACTTGAACCATCTGGGACAGAATTGCCAGTGAATGTCCTAACTGGCTTTTGTAAGAAGCTTATCTACATTTTCTCTGATTTATGTTTGGTGTTTTATCAACAAAGACTTCTAAATATTATGTTTTCTCTCCGTACTCATTTTACAGTGGAAGAAAAGTGTTGTCAGAGGGTGGGCTGTCACCAGGGGTCCTCAAACTTTTTAAACAGAGGGCCAGGTCACAGTCCCTCAAACTGCTGGAGAGCTGGATTACAATTTGAAAAAAAATAATGAATGAATTCCTGTGGATACTGCACATATCTTATTTGTAGTGCAAAAAAATACTTAAAAACAATACAATAATTAAAATGAAGAACAACTTTAACAAATATAAACTTATTAGTATTTCAGTGGGAAGTGAGGGCCTGCTTTTAGCTGATGAGATAGGATTGTTGTTGTTGTTGTGTGCTTTCAAGTCATTTCAGACTTAGGTTGACCCTGAGCAAGGGCAGAGTAAATGACCTAGGAGGGCCGTATCCGGCCCTCGGGCCTTAGTTTGAGGACCCCTGTTGTAAACAAAGCCACATAAATGCATGTCCTGCTTCCTAAATAACGTCGGTCAGCCAAATACAAGTCCCATCTCCTAAATAAAATGAAAACAGTTTTTAAGCTTGTGCATGTTGAATGCTAACAATCCAGTTTCCCAGCACTGTGTGTCGTGACAGAACGAAAACTAGGGCTGAACTAATCTTCCCTGGGGAAGCTGGCAAACCAGATTTAGTTTAAATTTGGAATAGAGGCTATATATACCTCTTGTTTCCCCATTTGATTCTGTTTTTAGTTGTTTTCTCAGTTGTTGTTTCAATATTTTCAGTATTTCTGAAAAATAAATAACAACCAGTCTACTATTTTCAGAATCTTTTCCACAGTGGGATTCTTTAATCTCTTCTCTAGTACTTGAAATATGCCTTTTTACCATACTGGATGCATTGTAAAAAAACATCTTATTTATTCCTCCTATCCTAAGATGAGACATTATAGTCCCTCAGAGTGATATTTTGCTGTAGAATCCACACAGAATGAAACGTACAGAGTAATCGTTCTACAAAATGGTTGTCTGCATAATTTTTAGCAACATCCTTTCAAGAACTGTTCAATATAATGGAGCAATTTCAAGAAATAAATTGACTTCACAAAAGTATTGTCTGATATAATTGGGAATTTTTTTTGCTAGTTTTTGGCAAATTATGACATATCAAAGCAAAAAAGGGAGGTCATATTCCGGTTGTCAATTGATGAAAAACATTTTAGGCAAATTGAGATTATTCCATGAGGAATTTTTTGAATTCATTGGAATAAGGAAATAACCCACAATTTCTATAAATACCATGATTCTATATAAATTGTTAAAGAAAGAAAAATATGCAAAAGTGAAAGATGTCATCTCATATCTCGAGGTCAGGATATACCCCTAATATAGGGAATACATATTTGGTTTGGTTTGAGTATACCGCTATTCCACTTTGTGTTTTCTGGCTGTCACTATTTGTGGGGAAAGTACTTTATTCTAGAGATGGAAAGAATAGTCAAAAATATCCAGAAAATGATTGGAAACATGTTGGAAACCTTGATGTGGAGAAAGCCAAAGTGTTGGAAAAGCCTGATGCGAGGAATCTTTGTAGTTAAAGATTAATCTGCATAAAATTCACGCGTGGCATTTTTGCACAGGAAACAACCTCGACTGCACAGGAAAAATAATTTTCTGCACTGAAATATTATTTTTCCGCACAAAAAAAATACCACAGGCAAATTTTGTTCAGATTAAGGACTTGTCTATATGGTTAAAAAAAACCCTGTGTTTATCATGAATGGACTGTCGCAGAGATTCACATTGTCTACAACTACATATCTTGGACTTTTGGGCTTTAAACCAACTTTGTTCCACTTTGGGCAACATCAGGGCATACTCTGGAGTATTGCAGGGCTTCAATCCACTCTGGAAAGCTGGATTGAGTCCAACTTGGCCTGATCCAGGCTGGCATTGCTGTCTTCACTTTGTCCTTGTGATGGTCAGTGCAAGGAAAGCAGATTTCTCATGCCCATGTGACCACTGCCACTCCTAACAGGTCATAGGTCTCTGCCAGAGTTCCTGAGCACTGTCTGTTGTGTCTCTGATGCCAGAATGGGGTACCTGCACAATCTGTAAGAAGGAGATCAGACTACTCTGTTTTGCTGGTTGCATGTGTGCCCCATTCTGCCATCAGTAGATAGAACCTTGGTGACCAGGAGCTTATACTGAGCTCCATTATTTATCGTGTCAGGAGCAAACCAAAACAGTTGTATTGCATTAAAAAAACAGACAAACAAACAAAAAAACACAACACTTGCAGACTTTGTATTCTATTAAATGTCCTTTGACCAGTATCTGGCCACTTGGAGTGCCTCTGGTGTTGCTGCAAGAAGGTCCTCCATTGTGCATGTGGCAGGGCTCAGGTTGCATTGCGGTAGGTGGTCTGTGGTTTGCTCTTCTCCACACTCGCATGTCGTGGATTCCACCCTGTAGCCCCATTTCTTAAGGTTGGCTCTGCATCTCGTGGTGCCAGAGCGCAGTCTGATCAGCACCTTCCAAGTCGCCCAGTTTTCTGTGTGCCCAGGGGGGAGTCTCTCATTTGG